CCACGTGGTGGAGGTGCAAAAACGAGGTTTTTTGGGACTTTTCTTGTTCGAGCTGGTCCTCGGGAGTTGTCTCGTGGTTCGCGCGCCTGCTCCCGGGACCGGCGGGTCGCGGGTTCGATTCCCCCCTGGTCCGCAGGCGGGCTTCGCAGGCTGCACGGAGCAACTTGCATAAAGCAACTTGCGCAGAGCAACTTGCGCATTGCCTAGAGCAACTTACGCAGAGCAACTTACGCAGAGCAACTGGCACGGAGCAACTTGCACAGAGCAGCTTGCACAGACAGGGACCAACTTGCACGGAGCAACTTGCGCGCAGCAACTTGCACAGAGCAACTTGCGCAGAGCAACTTGCGCAGACCAACTTGCACAGACCAGTTTGCGCAGAGCACCTTGCCCAGAGCAACTTGCGCAGAGCAACTTGCGCAGAGCAACCTGCACACACTGCAACTTGCACAGAGCAACTTGCGCAAAGCAACTTGCGCAGAGCAACTTGCGCATGTGCCAGGCCGGGGCTAAACAAGTTTTCCGCAGATTGGTGCTCGACCTCGCTTGCGATGTTATGCTTTCGGGCCAACCGTGGTCTAGTTTGTTGTTTAATCTGCTTTTTCTCTATCTCTGTCACCCTGTCTGCTTCAATCTCTGTCTCTGTCTTTGTTTACTTGTTTCTGTTTCTGTCTCTGTCCGTTCTGTCTCTTTTTCCGCTCTTTGTCTTTTGCTCCTGCTTCTTCTCTTGAGCTGCAAGAGGTAGCTCTGAGGAAATGGAGCTCCAGCAGCTTCGCGCACTTTGCGAGGCTTGCTCCCGCCGGTCACGGCGTCTGCGTTGCTTCGCCCTCGTTTGGTTTCACGGTTTCATGTGTGGATCTTCCTTCTTCAAGTCCTCTACTTTTCCCAGACGGCTTGAAGCTTCCTTGCCTTGTCGGCTTTGACGGCTTGTGTCCGAGGTTTGGGCTTGAATGAGATGGCAGATGCTTGCTTCCGGTGTCTCCAGTGTTTTCCGGTGTACCCCTGGCCATCCAAGGGAAGTCCACGACCTGCCGCAGCCTGGGGCGGAAAGGGCCGAGAGTGGATTGGAGAAGGGGCATCGCCTGAACAATTGGCGATGTCTCGGCCTTGAGCTTTGATTGACCCTGCCTCCATACAACAGACGGGCATCTGTGCCCAAGACAGGCCTTGGCTTGTTCTATATTTCCGTTTGTGGGCCGCGTCCTTTTTGATCAGCCCTTGTGGATTGATGAAGCCTCATCTCCACCCCGAGTTTGGAGAGGACCCCCCGGCTTTCCAGGCGTTGGAATCCGAGGTTGGGCACCGGGAGCTTCAGCTTCGTCTTCCGCGGCTCGTCTCGGTTTCACGGCACCCCCAACGAGGGCGCCCCGAACCTTTCCACACTTTCCACTCTTATTTAGGGATGCAAAACATCCACCATCATAGGCTCACCATCATAAGCGGAAAAGGAAAGGTGAGAGATTGGGGTGACCTCGGAGTGCCTGGCTTCGTCCAGGTAGGAGCGGGTTGCTGGACTTTCTCAGTGCTGTTTTGCCTATCCTAGGATGCACGGTGCACGGGCTCGATGAGCCGGTGGCAGTGAAAGTCTTGAAGAACAAGGACAGCAGAGACGCACCTGGCCGAAACGTGTGCCGTGCTGAACATAAACCTTGCCATACCCCAACTCATTTCAGGTGCGCAGGCGCCTCAATCCGCGCCGGGCCGCTCTGAACGGTCCCCTTCTCAACGGCTGATGGCTCGGTCCTCCCCAAACGCACACCTCGAGCGTAAAGTCCATAGCAAATCCCATGGCAAATCCATGGTATGAACCAAATCTATGGTTTGTTTCACCTGTCAAATCAACCATAAGGCCACTTGGACTTGCAAAAGTGTCGCAGGACATGCTACCAGGGCGCGGCCGCGAGTCTGAGTTTATCCAAGGCTGGCTGGCTGAGCATTCAATTCGCCGTGGCACTTCTTGGTTTGGTTTCTCGGCCAATTCCTGCAGGGTGAAGGAGATGCATTCCCGCGCCTCTCGTCTCGACGTTTCCTTCCGTGTCAGGCTTGCGCCATCCGAACTTGGTGAACGTCCTGGGCATCTTTGAGGGCGATGTGCTGGAGCCCCGAGCCCTGTGGCGCTATGGTCTCTGGACCGAAAGGCAACCCTCTGGTCAGACGTTCCATCGGTTCGGCGAGCCAGCACTTTCCCCACCTGTCAGCTACAGATTTTTCGGGGGTCCATTCCCGCATCTTCACTACGAGAACATGCTTCGAGCCAACTGTGAGGGCTGAGTGAGTTGAGATGTCCATAGGCTGGAATGGCGTAACCGGATTGATTTCTTGTGTAGTATGATCACACCAGAGGGGTTGGCTGACTGGCAAGAGTTGACCGAGCTGTTTGAGTAGACTGAGTTGACAGACTAAACTCAAGTTTTGTTTGAATCTGCCCGTTTTGGCAGCGTAAGTTTCCTCGAGATGTCGCCTGCTGTGCTGCAGGCATTATGTGATTTTGGAACTCTGCGAGGGTGGCAGCTTGCAGGACGGCCAGGGGCCATCGTGTCACCTGACTCGGCGCAAGTTCTTCTTTTCGCTGCGAGGTACTTATGTCACAATGACCATCCGTAGGTGCGCAGGGGCTTCCTAGACTCTCTCGCAAGACCTAGTCACGGCGAAGTCGAAAGAACTTCAGAAGGGTATGGCAGAGAGGTTCTCGCGATCTATCGCAAGGACCATTTGGGTCTGCCTTTTTTTCGGAGACTCTCCAAGATCGTGGTTTTCTTTTGGGTTTCCCTTGAACAAACACAGGGGACTCCTTGAAAAAAGACACACCCACTTCCTGGTTGAGAGCTCTTGTGCTACATGTTGCACTGGCTAGGATGCCCATAGGAGTCGTGGCAGACTTACCTTTGCCGCAGCGCGGGTTACAAGCTCGGCTTTGGGAAATGTAGGCTCGGAGGAGCCAGTCGGCCCAATTGTCGGCTCCAAGGTCTCAGCCGTTTGAAGTATCTCCCTTCGCATGTCGCGTCAGGATGTCATTCACCGGGACGGCCTTTGGCCCACCGTTCCTTTGGCTCATAGACTCAGAGCAGGGCCAGGGCCTCGGTCGAGGCAGCTCGTGCTCGTGCAGACTGGAGCACTAACCTCTTGGTGCTTCGGGGGCTTCTATGGACCCAGGTATGACATCGCGGCGGCTTTAGACTTTCTTCATCAACAGGACACTCGTTGGGCTGTGCGTCACACGATTCGGGCAATGGTAAGATTTGGTTGCTTGAGATCAATGCATGGGCTTGAGAGAGCCAATTGTTGCTGGCTATCGGAGCACGACAGGACATCCTGCACAGGGACGTGAAATCTGGGCCTGGCTGGCTGTGTTGACCCTTGGGTGGCTGGAAGCAGGGTGTCTGCTGTAGGCACGTGCTCAAAAGCAATCGTTGCCTTTCAGGCCAACCCTATTGCCTGGTAGTTGTGGTTTTGCGGACCTTACCCCTGCCCTTTATGGCCAGGAACGCCTTTCTCCTGACGCCCCTGCAAGCCTCTCGGCCTGTCAATAGAAAAGTGAGGGACCGCTTCGCATGGCACGTCCATGAGCAGTGTGCAGCTTGACTCATAAAGTTTGTATGTCAACAACTGAATGCCGAGCTCCCGGCAAAACTTTGGTCGTCCCTTTGGTGGGGAGAAGTTACTGCCCGGCCGGGAAGTTTTGCTCGCAGGAGGGCGAGGCGATCCCCACAGCGGTTGCCTCGGTCGGCTTGGCGAATCATTTTTGGTGCTAAAGGAAAGGCACAGGGCTGTTCTTTGCTGGGAACAATGTTTGTGCCCCGGAGCGCCAACAGCAATGCCTTTCAGCAAAACACCTAACTTCCTGCCAGAATTGGTGCTATTAGACGGTGACCAGTGGAGTCTTCATTGTCTTTGGTAATCTGGAAGACCATCTCCATCTGTCCAATGAGTGATCATCCTAACACCGAACGAGCATACCCAGTGATGCAATATGATAATGACACACTAGCCAACTATCGCGGGGAAACAAGTTACCTGCAAATTAGGGCGGCGAAAAAGTACGGCTATACCAACAAGCAGACCTGCAAGGCCAGGCAAAGCTGGTGGCTTGACACAACAAAATTCTTGAATGGGTGATCACGAAGCGCCTTTGGCCTGGTCGAGTGGAAAGGGTCGGGAGCAGCTTTCTGGTTATAGCTGGTTTATACCTGGCAGTGTTTGCAGTATCCACGTGGAATGACTTTATGCCATTTTTTTGCGAACATCAGAAAGTGTAGGTCTGCTTTTTTTGCTCCCTGCTTGTGGTTTGGGGAAAGACCATTGATATTTTTCTCTTATGTCAGCAATGCAGCACAAGGAAGCATGCAAAAGAACCTGATCTCGAGTTCTGCTTCTTTTCCATTGGTGCGCGTGCTTGCTTTTGTTGATTTGCAGGTAGACGATTAGTGCGATCGCCGAAGTCTAGCCGAAGCCGAAGGTTTGCTTGAGAGTGGCCGCGGACCGAGGTGAAGCTCGGGGACATGGGATTCGCACGACCAGTCAGTGACTTCGACATGATGACACAGGCGCCAAAGGAGACGTCCAGGGGAAGAGCTGGCCAGGTACCCTGTTAAGGTCCCCCCCCAGTGGACGGGCCTTGAACCAGGTAGGACATGCATACTCGAGGTGCGGTGTCGAGTATGGGCATCGTTTGGCTGGGTCCTGGAAACCTACAACATGCCAGCGGCTTGCGAAGAGAATGGTCACGAAAGCTGCTTCGCTCGTTGAAGCAGCTCGGGCCTTGTCACCGCATGGTCCATTTCGGGATTCATGACGCGGTCACATGAACACAGTGCTCACACGAAGCTTCTGGCAAGGTAGTTAGAGAGCTGAGGTACTGGGCATGCGGGAACTTTGGTATTTGAGACGTAGGACATCGTTTTGAAATAGGATGCCATTGCAGCCATTGCAGCGTGTTTTCCCACCTGCCGAGGCAACTTGGGCTTCTCTGAGAGACTGTCACCAGGGGATTTGAGCTGAGCAGATTGCCAGGGCGTGGGGACCCTCCGTTACATGGCCCCAGAAGTACTGAACTCTGGCGCGGGCTCCTAGTCTTCGAGAGAGGTGGTTCCCTTTAAGGGGACAGAGTGGTCAATTCCGTATTGACGACAGATGACTGCCGCGCGTTGTGGTGCGTTTTCTTTGCATTGTCCATTGCGGATACGCGTGGTTTGGTTGCTTGTCATCACTTCTCCAGAGATATCTCATCCAATTGTTCTCGGAGTGACACAGCAAGTAGTGTGCCAAGGTAAAGGAATCTCTAGTTTTCTGGGAAACGGTTTGCAGAAAAGTTTCATGTCCCAGGATGGTGCCCTGATGTGGTGATTCCCAGGCACTCCCTTTGTTTCTGGGACCACACGGCAGCTGTGTCCCTGAGGCGAATACAATTGCCAGGCGGATGTCTTTTCTTTCGGCATCCTCCTGCACGAAATCCTCTCAGGCCACGGAAGTGCACATTGCCCTTTGATCCTGCGAAACGAAAAAGGGTTCAAGACAACAAAGGTTCATAGGAAACGAAGGCGAAGCCACCGTTGTGGCCCTAATCATGTTTGTTTTTCTTCTTCTTTTGTTCTTCCTTTTTTCCTCCTTCCTCAAACGGATGGTTTACACTGTGGGAGGCACAGCGGTTTCATGTGGGAGAGGGAGACCTGCCTGCTCTTGGCACCCTGTCGAGCGGTCGCCCTCAGGAGAGATACCATTCGGGAGTCGGAACGAAGCCTCCTTGTGCCTTTTGATTATGGGTGGCTCCTGGCTCAGAGTTGCGTGCGAAGGGGGGCCCGAGGTGTCAGGCAGGTTGGCTGATGAGGATCCCGTGATGTATGTCTAATTTTACGAGCTTCTCTGCCCCGAAGGATCCCCATTTTTTTGTTTAAAGAACAAGCGTGTTCGAGCATGAGGCCCGACATCTTTGTTGACACCTGTACTTCACTGATGGATTCCTTTTTCCCCGCCCGCTCTCGCCGTCTCCATGCCTGGCTGAAGGGCAAACTGGGGTTGGCCGAACCTCGAGGCCACCGACCTCCAGAGGAAGCCATCCCGCCGGACTTTGGCGGCGGCCCCAGATGGCGGCGGTTTGGACAGGTTTGTTCTTTGAATGAGCCGAAGTTCTTGTTGGCAGAGGATACCTTTCAAAGGAATGTGATTCTCATGTGCCTTTCATTGGGCCAAGCTCGAGACTTCTGCGAGTCACCGTTGCGGCTTCAGGAGACCAAGATCGGCATAACCAGCTGTGGGCGATTCTCCAGGCGCCGACTGCCGGCTCGCAGATCTTGCGGCATGCAGCATGCCCCCAAGCCCAATGCGTGGCTTGGGTGAGACGGAACGGACTGAAAGAAAACGGGCCGGTCTTGGCATGCACACGTGAATTGGGCACCCTCGATCTCGCGAGTTCCATTTGTGGGAACCGGCTGCAGTTGCCATGCGGGGCACTGCACCAGCTTTGAGGCATGCTGGGCCGAGGATGCCGATGAGAGGCCGTGTGGCAGATGGTGTCATTCAGTCGAACGGCAGATGCCGTCATGCGTTGTGCACTCGTATCTTTTTTGACTGTCTCATCAAAGACCCGACCCCAGGCCGACGGCGGGAGGGGCTGCTGGGCTGATCCATGGCCTGCTCTGCTAATTCAGCATCATGACCAGTAGAAGGCGGCTGTCGCGCTTGAACGCGGCAAGTTGTGGCAGATGGCATTGAGCACACTTACCGGTGCCGCCTTGGTCGAAGCAGACTGCCTGTTTCGGTGTTTTTTGAACTGGCTGTCAGAGATGTGGCCTGGGTTGCGCCTCGGCCACGGTCTCCAGGAAGGCCAGCGCTCACGCCTTTTTTGAGCGAACGATGGCTGTGGGGGTCGCCCCAAAGCCCTACCCCGCAAGGCCCAGAAGCTTCCTCGCACCTTGAATGAGCCGCGCAGGGGCTTTCCTTTGACTGCCGAAGGCAGAACAGAGAGGCCACCTCGCCGACTTGCGCAGCAGTCCACTCAGTCTTGTTTTTTTTCCACATGAGACGCACTTTGCCAGACATCTGTAGCTCCGTGCTTCATTCTGCGAAACGGCTGCAATATGAGTCCAGGTTGGCAGGGAGTCGCCCAATCCGAAATCGATTGCCTGAGTGCAGGGCGTGCAACATGACCTGGAGACCCCAATGTGACGCATCTTTTGGTGCAAAAGTTGCATGCATGTGACTGTGGGTCAAAACCAATGAAATCCCATTTTGGGGTAGGTGCACCAATTTTTAGTCTATTTTTTTAAGTCTATTTTAGTCTATTTTAGTGGGAATTGGGATGTTCACTGGGGGTACGGGGTTTTGACCCATGGCCATGTTCCGCCGCCACTGCCCCAACGACCCCGTTGAAGCACAGATTCAGAGACAGTCGCGCCCGCAGGAACGGGTGGCTCATGAAAACACATCATGAGACATGGAAACGAAGAAGCTCGTGGCCACTGCTGGAAGAGCTCAGCTTCTGCTGCTAGTCCCGTTTTCTTGTTCCAGCCACCACTTTTTCAAATGCGAGTCCTGAGTCGGTTGCCATGGCGATGAGTCACAAGGCGGACGGCGAGCAGGCAGTTGTGGAAGCCGCCGCTGGCCGAAGTGAAGGGAACTTCTCGGCACTTCCTTGGTGCTTGGTTGCGAGTGTTCCAGACACCATTATGACTGTCATGGTCCTTTCTATCGACAGACGGTTCCACCATGTAGCGCAGTGCTTCCAGATGCTTTTCGTTCCTGCCATGTGCCTTTGCCTTCAAACCCTGAAGACAGAAAATTCTAAGGCGGCCCCATCAGAATTCAACTTGATTTTGGTACCCAGCGCAAAGTGCGCAGCACAGAGTGTCAGTTGATGCAGCGTACCCGAGAACCATCTTTGGCATTGCATTCTGTTGAGGCATGTCCTGCTTTCCACACAACAAATTGTCGTGTGCTAACTCTGAGCAGAAGCGCAGAGACGACATTGCCTGATCACACTTTTTTCCCCACCCGACGACCGGACGCCCAGCCCGTGACAGACAGATGTGACACAGACTGTGATAGACAGCTGCGACAGAGCGACAGACGGATGTACCAGACAGCTGTGACGGGGCAAAGCCTAAGCTCCCGACGCGTCGCGCCCGAAGCAGCGTGCAGCCAGACAGCCGCAACAGCCTGAAGCCTGAGGCTCCTTCCCGCCAGTGGCCAGGCCCAAAGCTTGACGCCCCCACAACCCCCGAAGCTTCCCACAGCGACGGGAGCGAGAAGAGGCTTTCGTCACAATGGCGCGACTGGCTGGGTGGCCAGAATATTAGACAGCTTCCGCCGCAAGCGCTTGTGCTCTCCTTGCTGCCAGAGAGCAACTGCCGACTAGCTTCACGGAGTGGGATGTTGAGGCTTGCGGCGTGTGGTGTGTCTTAGGCGATCGAAGTAAAGCAATCTGTGGGGAGATGGACCCTTCAACGTCTTGGTGTGTTCCCAGGGCTCATGTGGCCACTCGTTTTTCAGGCAGCTCAGTGAAGAGCTCGCGCCCTTGAGGGCCAACATCGCATCCATCCTTACAATGTGTTTTGTCCGCTCATGAGCGCCCCATGCACCCACCTGGCGCTTATGATCCCCTCCTTTGGGATTGGGGCAACGTTTGTGTGGGTTTCCCGAGAGAAGATCGGTTCTTTTGGCCCCTTGGCTGTTTGAAAAGGATGGCCTGCCAAGGATCCACCTGCGCCGGCGGAAGGCGCTTTCGGGTTGACGTCATGGGGTTGGTCAGCCAAGCACCAAACACGCCATGCCAAATAGTGCTTCGCGACTACGAACAGTAAGCCGTGTAACAAGGCCGAACAGCATAAGTATTGCCCGCGTTTGGTGAACGAACTGCCCGCCCACTTGATATTGCTTTGTTTGGGAAGAGTGCTCTCCGCTAAACTAGGTCTAGACAGCTCGGCAACGATTTTAGGTGCTTCGCATCTTGTCTCCAGTCTGTGCTGCTGCAGCTGCTTGCTGCTGCTTGCTGCTGCCACCTGGAATTTGTTCTCGTTTTGTTTGGCGCAGGCACCTTAGCGCACCAGATCCTGTACGGCAGCTTTGGGGATGTCAAGCTGCGAGCCCAGGCCCGGGCAAAATGGTGGGCGTTAGGCCGATTTTGCTGGTTTCTCCTTGGGCTTGCGTGCTGAGCAGTCAAAGCGATCAAGTCAGGAGGCCAGTGCTGCCTGTCTTGATCTGGGTATTGCTTCAGCCCTTCACCGAGAATCCCGCTGTGGCTAGCAACTCATCACATCATGTGCCCAAATGGTCCATGGCTTCCACGGTCAATTCAATCTGGGCCAGGTTGGTAGCTATCAGCACAAGCTCTGTTCTCTTCCTGGTCTTTTAGGATCACAATAGGGTCAAATTCAACTGTCAAAACAAGCAACTCCGTCAACCGGTAGAAGAAACCAAGCCAACTCATGGGTGGCCGATCAGGCACTACTCAGTTGCATGCTAGAGCGGATCTTGTAAACGCGGTTGGACAGATTGGGTCTAATCTGTTTCTCTGGTTTTCTGCCAGCGTTTTCTGCAAGCGAGGAGTGGGCGCAGCTGTGCTCGAGGGACCTGGGCCAGGCCTTGCTGGTGCTGCTGGACCTGGTGCTCGCGCTCAGCGGTTTGCCAGGGGCGGTGGCGCCTGAGGACCTGGAGGCGGCGCTTTTTGGAGAACGACCGTTTTCCCTCTATGGCTTGAGAAGGAGAAGCGTCTGGCGGCGTTTGGGGCAATATTGGGATTGGGGAGCAGGGAACTTGAGGAACTGTTTGCGTTCAAAGAGGCAGATGACTAAAAGGCACATGGGTCATGGACGATCATGTCATTGCATAGCAATCAGAGCCGCGATTAATAGTTGGCCGTTCCAATCCAGTCCAATGCAGGCCAATGAATCCGGAGCAGAGAAACTGGACCACAACACTCGCTCAAACTTTTGCAACGATCTTCGGATCGTCCGCCTGGTTGCTGTGCCGGGCACAGAGCGGCCCGAAGCCTAATTTGAGCATCAAATGACAGAGTTGCACGTACATCGCAACGCATGCGACTACCAGGGAAAATTGCAGCGAAGACTGCCAAGGAAGCTTCCGGACACCAATTAGTTGGATTTCTTCTTCACGCTGCCCTAGTGGTGGTGCGGTGCTGTTCATTGCAGGTGCCAGAATCCAAGCAGTGTTCTGGGCTGCTGCATGACTGCTTGAGAATCACGTGTGATGATGCCAAGCCACCAGACCAGGCCAATTGGCCGCAAACCGACGGGTGGCTTGTCTCTAGCACTGACTCAATGCCAGGCTGAGCCGGCTTTGCTTGTGATGCCCAGCTGCAATGGGTACAGTTCAGCCAGATTTCACGGGAAAAGCACAGTGATTGGATTCTTGTTGCTTTCAGCATGGAACCAGAATGCAGCAGATGCGTCAATTGCCTGGTTTGTCTGCAAAGCCAGCGGCGCGTTGATTCCCTCAGTTTCGTGTGGAAGAGAAGGATGCACATTGCATGGTTGGATTTGGGCTTGTGCCGCAACACGGAGCCGCCCCCCCCCAAAAAAACAAAAACAAAAACATCGGCGGTTTCTTTCGGGTTTCCCCGTGGAAAGCACCCCAAAAAGCGCACCCCAGGCCCAAACAAACGCGCGCAGACCCATTCTCGGCCTGAGGATCCGGCTGCCGGACTGGGTGCGGGCCCAGAACCTGGACCCCACGATCTATCCGCTGCTGCCCTCCATCCGCCAAGCCCGGCGCTCCGTGGCGAACCTGGAGAAGTTCCTGAGCACCGGCATCGGGGAGCAGCCCCTTTGCCTTCATTTTCTGGATATGTTAAGCACCGGCCACCGGATGGATTTTCTGGATATGTTAAGCAACGACCGCCGGGTGTAGCGTGTTCTTTCATGCTTTCGAGGTTTTGGTACCATGCATGCGACCGGTTGTCAGGATGATCGACTCTGCAAGCGTGCCGTAGCCGAAGCTAAAACACCCAGTCGCGCAGTGAAACCATCGCAGAATAGATGCTAGCCAGTAGCCATTTTCGCAAGGCCCCATTGAAGTCCAGCTGGTCCTTCAAAAGTGCAAGCCTGCAAGGGAGCTTTGAAACAGGTGCCAAGCCCAAATCATTCACCAGCGAAATTGGCAGTGGACAGAGGTTTGGCAGGGACCTGATAGCGGGCTGAGAGGCTTCAAACTGTCAGTGGATTGGCCCAGGAAAAGTGCAGATTTTGCCTTTGCTACCTTACCAATAGCTTGCAGCCCCCGTGTGAAACCAATGTGAGCCCTCCTTGCACGGAAGATACCCAAACGCATACTCTTTGGGTTGGGACCATCCCTACACCTGTGGGAAAAGCCTATGCAGCGGACCCCCTACACGTGCTTGTGAGGTTGGTTGGAGAACCGCTCCGACAACCAACAACAAACTCATCAGGCCGCGCATCAGGCAACAAAACTACGGGAAAGTCATGACTGGATTGCCGGCCTTTGGTGGCCAGTGGCTGGGCACGTAAGGAACGGCCCTGCCCTCTTGGATAGTCAGCTCGTGGTGGCCTGGCTGCATCCAGCTTGGGCATCCCATATCATTTTGTTTAAAGCTTGAACTTGCGGCGCTCCGGTCGAAAGCGCCGTGACGCGCCAGCCGAAGGGTTTGTCGGTTGCGAAGGCCTCCCTCAGCCGCTGGCTGCTGGTGTTGCCCAACGCGGCGGTCCGCTCCGTGCGGCACGTGTCCACCATTGCCGCGCTGGCGGTGGCGGAGGCGAAATTGGGGGATCGGCGAAAGGGGGGCGCAAAATGCCGGCTCTGAGGAACGGGGCGTGTCGAATTGTCCATTTTTCCGGGCACAAATATCAGAGCATTGGAAGATCGACGCCACATGGGTTGCCATTAATGCCATTTATGTCTCGTGCCCAGACTTTTCGCTTCTTAGGAAAAACTTCCCTCTTGGCGGCCTTGGAACCCGCGCTTGGCCACGCGGCCCCAGGCGTTGGGGCACCACTTCCAGGCGCTGAGCCGTTCCCACGAGACCTTGGCACGGCAGCTGCAGGCGGCCAGCGGCACGGTGACGGCGCGCCAGGCCGTTTTTTTTTTTGAAGGGGGTGGCACAAGCTGCAGCTGAGAGGCTGCTGATCTGGGGATGAATTCTACTTGGGGACCCCTTTGGTGGACATCCTTCGCGTGGGGGTTTGCACGAAACATTTGTGAGGGTGTTCCCCTAAGATTCAGAGCCGGTGACGGGTCGCCCTGGGCTTCCCTTTCAGGAGGCGCAACTCAAGCGCGACGCAGCTCGGCGGAAAGGTCGGGCGCCAGAGTCGCCAGAGGCCTTGGCACTGCTGGCAACAGGTTGGTATGAGAGATGATTCTGACAATCCATAGCAACATGGTACGAAACTCCCTGTTTGCGCAATCCCTGCGGCCTCTCTGCCCTCCCTCGCTCTGGTCAGTGGCTGTTCAGGTCGCGGCTTCTTCCAGCCACGCCAAAGAGATGAACCGCTCTCGGAACCAGTTGTTGGAGACCATCGTGCCTTTGCGTAGCCGCTCCTTTGCCCGCAACCAAAACCTGCTTGGATACTGGGAGTCAACTGATGCGTGTACCTGGAGCTTCTCCGGATTGTTTTCCAGTTGTCCGGACTTGACGCTAGGTTTGGTTCGACTTTTGCACAATTTGTTAATGTTGAAACGCATGTGGAAACATGAACTGTGTTTGAAATGCTTGACCATAATGGCATGTGCCATTTTGGCTCAAGCTTTGCCCTGGGTTCCTTGAACCCAATTTGTGTGAAAAAAAATGAGTTTGAACACCTTCGAACTAACCCCGATCAAGCAATGGCTTCCTCGGCAACCTCGGCCACCTCCTTTGAGCTGATTGAGGACCAGACGCTCACCGTGGAGGAGGTTGAAATGGCCAGCCAGGAGGCCCAGGAAATTCGCACACGCGAGGCGGCAGTGGCGGCCGGCCTGGTTTTGGACGAGCCCGAGGCCCCCCCGTCGGCCTCGGCTACCGACGTGATGAAGGACCTCTCCAGTGCACTGGAGCGTCTCCGTGTGGCGTTTGCCACACCGACTTCCGGCTTGGGTGCCCCTGGCCCCGCCGAGGAGGAGGACAAGGACATGGAAGATGCGGACGTCACGGAGCGGGCCACTCCACCGGAGGAGGCACAGACACCACCCACGAAGAGGCTGAGGGGTTTCGTGGCGGCTTCCCAGAAGACCACGGCTCATGTGAACAAACCGGTCTCCTTGGTGCCGGTTGAGGGCCGACCCGGTTACTTCAAGCTGGTGGACCTCCCAGACCTCTTCCCGGTCCTTCCGGCATCGGCGGCCACTTTGCTGAGGGACGTCACGGTGGAGGAGGCGGTCTCCCTGTTCCACAAGTTTGTCGGGAAGAATCTCACGGAGGACCTGGTGATTCGTATCCTGGAGGCCTATGTCCCGATGAAGATCCAGATCCGGCAGGAGGAGGTCTGGGCCTCGCAGTTCCAGAGGAACAAGGCGTGCATTGGCACCCAGCGTATGCACAGGCTCGATGCAGGCTATTCCGATTACAAGTTCATGTGCAAGGCATGCGGCACGGGGTGGCCAGAGGCAGCCAAGCAGTGCTGGGTCTGCCCAGGCAAGGAGTTCGTCCCCTTCCAGGCACCCTCGGCCACCTATGAGGCGGACGGCATCACCTACAACCTGCTCATCGTGGAGGGCAAGCCGACCTGGATCCAACAGCGGGAAGGGGGAAGCCTGGGTGCCCTTGTGGCCGGTGGTACCCGGGCACAGGCAGACCGCAACCTGGTGGACGGCACGGTCCTGGGGAGACCTCCTCCGAAAACGGACACGGTAGAGGAGATCACCATGGCAGACGTGGTCCCGCTCAACAGGCGGGTGGACATCCGGCAGGAGATAGGCGTTGAAGGTCCGGGAATGCCAGGAGATCAAGGTCAAGGTGCAGCGGTCCCTGAAGGAGGCGGAGGCTCAGAGCTTCCAGCTCGGTGGACCAGGCGATCCGGAAGAAGGAGGAGCTGCATAAGGCCTTGAGGGAGCATCGGGAACCGACCCCGGAGGAGTCCTCGGCCAGGCGGCGGCACAAGGAGTTGGTCACGGAGGAGATGCTGGACAACGAGATGGCTATCCTGGCGCCTCTCCAGGAGGGCATGCAGTCCCTGCCGTCAGAGGAGGTGGCCAATGAGGGAGCCCGTGCCCTCAGGAAGGTCAACCTGGAGCGATTCAAGGCCAAGCTGCGAGACCAGTACCTGGAGGGGAAGGGCGTTGACGCCAGCCAGGCACTGGCTGAGGCGATGGGCTCATTCAGGAGGCTCAGGCGGCGAACAAGCGCACCCAGGACACCAACCAGGCATGGATGCTCAACCACACTCTCAAGCCCTTGGAAGTGTCGGCGTGGCCGGATGATCTCAGGCAGGCCCTGGAGAGGGGGCTATTCTGCCCCCTGGAGCTGGATGACCCCGAGGACATTTTTCAGGTGGGAGACATCAAGAAAAAGTATGTCCCCTACATCAGGAGGCTCAGGGAGTCGCAGAACCCATGGCACCAGGAAGCGCTGCTGGAGGAGATGCCCGATCTGGTGGCACCGGCCCCTTCTAAGGGTGCCACTGGTTCTGGGGGGGACCAGCCAACGTCACAGCAGGACCTGAACTCGGGCAAGCTGTCCCTGCTCCTCTGGGCGATGAAGAGGCACCAGGGGGAGCTCCGGATGTTTGGGGGGATCTGGAAGAAGCACGCAAGCGGTGAGATCCCCAAGGGTGCTGACCAGCAGTTCAAGCTCACGCCGGAGGAGCTCCTGGCCCTGGAGCGCAGGACTCACCCACTCACGTGCGAGCGGGACCACATCGACCCAGTCATCTACACGGCCTTGGAGATCAGAGCGTAGGTGAACCGGGGTGAGCGCCCGGCGCCGGAGCAGGTGGTGGGGATCTTCTGGGCGAAAGGTGATGGGGTGTTTTGGACCAGGCAGACGAGAACGTGGGACCTGCCGAGCCTGACGGGGGTGTATGCCCACAGGTTCACTTTCAAGTACATCTACTCGGCCTGGACCACTTTCCCGTTGATCGTGAAGACGCAACGCCGGGGCCGCAATGCGGAGGGCTCGACCTCGGACAAGTGGATGGGCAACATCCTCCAGATGAGGAAGGAGGCGGTGCCCTTCCTGGAGAGCCTGGGCATCCCCAAGCCGCGCAGCAAGGCGGAATGGAGCTACATCTTCAAGGAGATGGGGACGTTCTTGGCGGCCAAGAATTTCATCGTCAACTGCCCGTTGCCTGTGATGGAGATCCCAGTAACCCCCGTCCACGACAGTAAGGAGGCGCTGCGCTTCAGGGCGGTCTGCGACGAGCGGATCACCCTCCCGCTGGCATCGCTGAAGGCCTTCGACTCGGTCTACACCAAGTTGGTGGCGGGCCTGAGCAAGTCTTCGATGGTGGAGGTGAAGGTCAACTGGCGCTGCAACGTGGTCCATGACTGGGTCGAGCAGGTCCCGCAGGGGTTTGCGCCCTGGGGACCGATAGCTTTCTACTTTCTATACTTTCTATTTCTCACTAATACTATTTCTATATATAGGATTCAAAAGTGACGTTCGGCGCCCGGCCGCGGCGCAGCAGCCGCCCTTGGCAAGACGCACAGCAAACCCAAAGGGATGAAAGACCAACGCAGGCGCACATGGGCATGGACAGGCCGGGGATTGAACCCGGCCCCTCTCGCGTGCTGAGCGGGTGTGATGCCACTACACCAACTGCCCCTGAGCTGAGGAGGCCGAGCGTGCTCAACTATGCTCGGCACAGCTTTTCGCGCTGAAGACCCACCCGCTCGGCCTTTTTTCTTCCTATCGGCTGCCGGCGCACTCCTTTGGTTGGCGCTCGCTGTGGGCAAACGAGTGCGGCCTGGAAAAGCGCTCCAGCACCTGCAGCGCACAGTTTTCAGCGCTGAAGCTTTGTCACGGCCCGCCCGTTCGGCCTCTTTTCTTCCTTTCTGCTGCCGGCGCACTCCTTTTGGTTGGTGCTCGCTGTGGACAAACGAGTGCGGCCTGGAAAAGCGCGGGAAGCGAAGCTTTTGTGGCTGGCCGCTCCCTCTGGACCGATAGCTTTGCTGCATATTGGACTCAAATGCGACGTTAGGCACTCGGCCGCGGCGGAGCAGGCTGCCGGCGCACTCCTTTGGTTCGTGCTCGCTGCAGCGCAGCGAGTGCGGCCTCCAAGCGCGCTGGACGCGAAGCTGTTCTTGCTGGTTGCGCCCTGGGGACCGATAGCTGTCTACTTTCTATATAGCACTCCTTTGGTTGGTGCTCGCTGTGGGCAAACGAGTGCGGCCTGGAAAAGCGCTGAAAACAAGCAAACAAGCAAGCGAGCGAGCAAGCCAGCAAGCCTGAACCAGCCAAAAGCCGCTGACAGAACAAAAAAAACCTGGGCTGGCCCCCAGCGGAGGGGTCGGCGGCACTGGGCGGCAGCCCTTAAATCCGGCCACCGGACGTGATCGGGCCGCAGGCCAAAGCCCGTTAGGGCTTACCTTCAGGTATAAGGCCGCGCGCCCCATGCCGCCGACCATGCGCAGAACATGCGCAGAACATGCGCAGAACATGCGCAGAACATGCGCATACGTTTTATGCTGGGCCCTCCCTTATAAGGGGCGAAGGATTTGCGGATTGGTTTAGGCGATTTCCAAGGATTTCCGAGGATTTTTGTAGCATCTCCCCGCAGCATCCAAAAACGAGTCCAAAAACGAGCGTTTTTGGGGGGTGCCTAATACTGGACAACACCCCCAGCATTGCCAGCATCATCCAGGATGATACGGATTGTGCTATGCATGCTGGCGATGCGAAAGAAGGGGCTGAAGGGGAAATACAAGGAAACAGGAGTGACTGGAAGTGAACGAAATGCAAGTCAAAGGAATTGCACGACAATGAAGAGGGGTCTTCAAGGAAATGAAGGGAGCTGAAACGGCAGTGAAGTGGAAGGAAGTGAAGGGACATGCCAGGAAACTGTCAGGGAAGACATGCAAAGGAAGTAAAGTTCGAATCATGCCGAGAACTAGCAGAACTTAGAGGGAAAGGAGATGAAAGAACGGGAAGGGGTGCCCGGTGGCCGGCTGTGTCGCGTCAGCGTGTAAATCCGGCCACCGGACGTGATCGGGCCGCAGGCCAAAGCCCGTTAGGGCTTACCTTCAGGTATAAGGCCGCGCGCCCCATGCCGCCGACCATGCGCGGACCATGCGCATACGTTTTGGGCTGGGCCTTCCTTATAAGGGGCGAAGGATTCGCGGAGTGGTTTAGGCGATTTTTGTAGCATCTCCCCGCAGCGCCCAAAAACGAGCATTTTTAGGGGGTGCCTAACACTGGACAACACCCCCAGCATTGCCAGCATCATACCGGATGATGCGGATGATGTTATGCATGCTGGCGATGCGGGGGATGCTGGGGATGTTGTCCCCTAAGTCGGGCCAATTTTGCCGAAAACGTGGTGCAACCTGAAAATCTTAAAATCTAACGTGGATGGAAATGGATGGAAAATGGCCTGGATTGAAATCTCAAAATCCTAAAGTC